CCCCAAAACCCCAAAACCCCAAAACCCCATTCCTTCACAACAGCTTGAAATTATCTCCAACCAATCCTTGCTAAATAATTAAGATAAAGATGAATTATCAAAATTGCCAGCATGAGGGATGTCTTGAAGGAGCCGGGCACTATGTAGACGAGAAGAAGCTGTATATTTGCTCTGACCATCGGCTTAGCTATTATTAAAACATATTCTGAGTTTCCCTCCACTGTTCTTATTAACCCTTATGTTGTAGGAAGACGGATAGAGGTCCTTGATGAACGACTCAAAGAGTTTATTAATGTTGTCGAAAATCTTAATTATGGAGCTTGACCTGAAAAATATGAAGCCCTTAGTTATACAATAAAAGCAGAACTTAATCTAATTCAAGAGAAGCTACAAAGAGCAAATAAAGCCGGAGAACATTTCAGATATGAATCTTTATACAAAGAAGCTGAAAATGTCGACAGTCATTTCACAGAAGACAAGGAATACTTGTGTGTGATTAAGGATTGGAGTAAAGGGTTGACGAAATCTAGACTAGAAGACCAAAGAAACATCGATGTAATCAAGGTAGAGCTCAAGCAAAAGTATGCAGCAATATTCAAGAGAGTCTTGGAGAAACTTCGCGACCGAATGCATGCAATTGAGAGAAGATACCAGCAAGAAATCTCAGATCGTGATGCCAAACTAGCTGATGAAGATGACAAATGAAGAACTGTAAAAGATACACTTGGGGAGCTCAAAGATGAACATAAAGAAGTTATCGAAGAACATAAAGAAGTTATCGAAGAGCAAAAAGAAGTTATTGAAGAGCAAAAAGAAGCTCTAGAAGAACATAAAGAAGCTCTCGAAGAACTTAAGAAAACATCAGCAAACAAGGAATCTGAGCTCAATGAAATTATTGATGAACTCCGAGCAAGAATCCAAGATCTTGAGGGAACTATTTCGGTACTCCAGCAGAGCATGGCAGGTAAAGAAGAAGAGGTGAAGCAAGAGGATGCAAGGATACACAGTCTTTGCGAAGAAAACAAGCAGCTAAAAGAGGAAAGCAAACAGCAAAGAGAAGAACTCCAGAAGCTGCAAAAAGAATATAAAGATCTTGCGGAAAAACTTAATGGAGAAATTACTCTCTCCAAAGAACAGCAAGCTCTGTTTGAAAAACAGAAAGATTCGTACACTGAAAGCCTGATCAAGCTTAACAAAGACAAAGATACATCACTGCAAACCCTCCAAGATATGATTAATATCAAAGACAAAGAACAGGAGAAAATCTTTCAAATGCACAAGGAAAATATTTCTAGAATGAATGCTGTTGAAGAAGAACTTAAGAAGTCTGAACAAGAGAAAGGGAATCTTCGGACGAATTGTGATAACATTAGGAAGGAACTAAACCTCTCCAGGTTATCTTATTTCAGCCTCCTCTACAAAATTACCACTAGGGAGGATATACCGATTGGGCCTGTAAACAAGTTGACACTTGAATCTTATAATTATAAGGATAAAAAATTTCTAAAATCCCTGAACAACAGAATGCCAGACATTAAGATACTTAGTCTTAATAACATGCCTCAAAGGTGCAAAGAAATGAAGCATTTCATGGCTAATCACTTCCCTGACAAAGTGGGGGTGTTAAATTTTAACAAGTGCTCTACTATGAATTCTCGTTTGGAATTTTACTTTGATGAACTGATGGAAGTGAGCCAGAGAGTCATTGGGGAGCTGTATATCCATAACTTTGAAGTCTCTCAGGCCCACCTCGTCTCCCTCCTCTCCGCCAACAAGCACAAACAAATATTCGGACTTCTCGATTGCAAACTTGATTTATCCTCTGTTCCTGATTTTGGAGGAAGACTTGCTGGAAGTCGGATCAGATGACTAGATCTGAGCAGCTCAGGAGGATTTTCGTGCTGAAATTGGAACTACAATGTAAAAGATTTTGAAAATCTTATTGTTGGACTTTCTCAGGAAGAGGATTTTTTGAAGAACCTGCAGATAATCAAGATGAGCGAGTGAGGAATGGAGAAGGATGTGGTAGAGGAGATTTTGGATGACCATGGATTTTTGCATGTTGAAATTCATGGGCACTCTAAGTAATTGTCAACACTGAAGCTGTTAAAGAGAAGAATTTTGTTGCTGTCAAGAGAATCAGGATAGATTATATTCTTGACAATAAAATAAAATTCAATGAATCTAACTAGCTTTGGGGTTTTGGGGTTTTGGGGTTTTGGGG